GTTTAGTCGCGTCAACCCACTCACCGCCGTTCGAGGCCCTGAACAGGGCGAGCGTGTCCTCTTTGTCGGTGAGCCGCAGAACTCGCTCCGGCTCCGCGCGGCTCACGCCCCGCCCATGTGCGAGAAGTTGCAATTGTGAGAGAGAGAGAGAGTGTGTGTGTGAGAAAGTGTGTGTATGTGAGAGAGAGAGAGAGAGAGTGAGTGTGTGTGAGAGTAAGTGTGTGTCTGTGTGAGAGAGATAGAGATAGATAGAGATTGAGTGACTGAGTGACAGTGAATGGCAGAGAGAGAGAGAGAGAGAGAGCGAAACATGGTTTATAATTTCAAATCACGTTTCTCGCTGCATTTGCTGTTATGGCAGATAGCATCATTGCAATGTAAACGTAACCCAAATTTGCAGTATTCGTTCCCCGTTTTAATTACAATTAAAGTAACGCTGTGTTTTGGTTTTGAGAACATCAATTATTCCGTGATTTTACTTCAGTCTCAGTCATTGCAAAATCAAGGGTATGTGCTGGCATGTTATATGTTTATTCTACAATGCATGACTTGTTCCCATTGCAGTCCAAACACGAAAACAATAATACATATATTTGGCAGAATGTTGTCTTATGTGCTTATTAGCAGACTTTTGCATATTATTTATATTATGATTATACGAACTGGCAAGACCACACAAATGCAGAGATTTAGACACAATCAACAGACGAAATGTCGGCTCTCGCGGTCTCTCTGCGATGTATATAAACGTGAGTCCCAGCCGCCTCTCAGTAGTAGGTGAAAGTGCGTTGCGTGAGAAGACTTCTCGCGCTCGTCCGTCACTTAAGGTCGCTGTGTTGGTGTTGGTGTCGAGATTCTCCTGGTGAGAACTGTGTACCGTTTTATTATTTATTTATTTGTTTATTATTATTATTATTATTTTGTGCATAATTTGTATGCTGATATATATTATCGGCCCGGTTGTTAAAATTGTTCGAAGCCCGACCTTATTATTCATAATACGGATATAGATATATATAGACATAAATGCATATCTGTTGGATAGATAGATATATAAATGTATATCTATCAGATAGATAGAGAAATGTGCATTTATTTACATGTTTTATGTAATATTCATTGGATCAGGCTTCGCTCAATTTTAACCGGACATAAGTAACGTGTATCACACACAAAATTTCAAGATATGATAACATAATGAAAAGTGGGTCAAACATATGAGCCATAAACACTAACCATTCATTGGGACAGTAAAGTTATAGGGCAACAAATCCCTTGTTTTTTTAGAGACTAAAAATTCTGTTAATTGAATTTGAAATTGGGAAAAATTATNTAGTCTCACCACAGACCATTTGGTGTTTTCTGTTTTATAGAATATTCCGATTTCGTAAGGAATTTATGGTACTGCAAATCGCATATGGTAACTGTTGACTGCTGATGTGTTGAGGTGACTGAAAGATATTGCGCCGCTCTTCTCAGCATTTTGCCTCCCACCTCATAAGGTCTATTTACAATATTGTTAGGCGAACTGCAATATCGGTTATATGTTTCCTGTGCAACCCATAGTTTTGCGTATACTGCAACCCGTGTTTGAGTCACTTGTTTCTAAACCGTGTTCATTGCGTCAAAATAATAAGACCGGATATCTTAATAGTGCTAATGTATCTGGCTCGCTTTTGTCTATAGTTAGAAATACATAATATTTTGACGAAGATATTATATATATGTGCGTGTGTTTATATTCAAATATACACATATATGTGTTTGCGTGTGTGTTTCTATATTCAAATATACCATATGTGTTTGCGTGTGTGTTTCTATATTCAAATATACACATACATATGTGTTTGCGTGTGTTTCTATATTCAAATACCAGTGTGTGCGTGACCTTTCAGAACCATGAGAGTGTGCGTGCTGCTCCCCGCCCTCGCCCTCCTGTCGCGGGCCAGCTGTCAGTGCCTCTCCTCCGACACCTCGCCGCCCCCGCGGCTCCCGATTCTCAAGCAGTCGACCCCTTCAGCCTCGACTTACTCCAGAAGGCTCTCCCTCCGTCGGGGAACTTCTTCATCTCGCCCTTCAGCGTCTGGAGCGCCCTCGTCCTCGCCTACTTCGGCTCCCGAGGCAACACGAAGGCGGAGCTGGAGCAGGTTCTGCGGCTCACCAACAGGAGGACACGCTCGCCCTGTTCAGGGCCCTCGAACGGCGGTGAGTGGGTTGACGCGATTAAACCTACCGAGTGAACCGTTAAGAGGTGGTAGGTAGATGGATATATATATATGTGTGTGTGTGTGTGTGTGTGTGTGTGTGTGTGTGTGTGTGTGTGTGTGTGTGTGTGTGTGTAAACACAAACACAGAAACGTGTACAAAAATTATGAAGAACAACGACAAAAAAATTTTTTCATTTCATATTATGCTTTCTTCATTTTCATATATATGTATATAAATGTATATACTTGTATATAATATATATATTATATATATATATATATATATATATATATATACATCATATATATATATATATATATATAGAGAGAGAGAGAGAAATGGACATGAATAAAACCTTGATGATAAAAAAGGATCATGATTTTATAATGCAAGTAATAACATTATCAGATAATAATTTCTACTAAAAATAACACAACTGCAGTTATGGCTCCCAAGAAGCAAACAGAACTACACCATCAACTCGGCTAACAGGATATACTTCGACCAGTCCATTCCCGTCCGAGAATGCGTGGGAAAAGTCCTCGACGACAAAGTGAAGTTCACAGACTTTAATAGGGTAAGAAACAGGCTTACAGCTTTATTTTCCTTCCTAATAGATGTGGGGAGTCTTCATCACTTGTAACATCATGCATATCCAAAATTGGGATATCAGAACTCATGTAGTTACAGATTCATGGCTCAGTGAGGATACGAACATCATTCTTTATATAAAAGCACAGCTTATAAGTTATGGTCTAATGTTTTGATTATGTCTCTGCAAAAAGAGGGTAATCTACACATACATTTGCATTAAATCACTGCATTATCACTTCGTATATACATACAAATCTCTGTAACCTGACATTGTATTTCAATTTGTGATACGTTTCCATCTAGTGGTTAAGGGAGTTCTCTGGCAATCTTGGTCTAGTACGAGAAGACAGAAATATGAGCCGAGGCACAGTGATAAAACCTTTTAAGCCTTAAACAAAGTGAAGCACTTCAAACCTTATAGCTTAAACCTCGGGCGCAGTGTGAAAGCCTTCCGTACAAGAGGGCAGATCTGTTCAGCAGACTTACTTTGATCTTGAGTAACAGAGAAAAGCCTTCTGTGGTGATCATTTAATGTATGTAGAATGAACCAACTTCTTCTGTGCTTTAGGGCGTCTTCTGTACGTGCCATAAGAGTTAATCCAGTATTCAAGTTTAATCCAGATCTCTAGAGCGCATGCGCAATGGCAGCGTCCAGGATCAACTTTTATTTCATCTCTGGACCAGCATTCACTTTTGAGCTCGTAATTTAATCCTGGCATGCTAAGAACGAGCTAGTTAATCCCACCAATCAGGTATTGATACGTAATGACGTCATCAACTCCATAAAAAAAGGATGAAGTTGAGCTGCGATAAATGTTTATTGATGAAACTAATTCTGGCATTTTTATGCTACAGACATTTATCAACATGTATTTTCATAAGTCGTGGGATACTTAAACTGCAGAAATAACTCTAGAAAGAAAATCCCACAAATTATATCCAGGCTGGAAAAACAATCCCAACGTATGTATCATATCAGTAGACTTAAAAAAGAACGCTTTCAATAACATCACGTTTGTTCAATAACAAACCTTTTGAATCTTTATATTACAGTGCCTTCAAAACTGCGTGCAAATTTTATCATTTTCCTGCGAAAATAAATTGATGTATCTTTCGTTTGACACCTACAGTTCTGTTCCCTTTATATGGATTTATTTGTCGTAACACAAATGCACATCCTCATGCTATAAGACTACCGTATATGTGTAAATATATATATATATAATATATATATATATATATATATATATATATATATATATATATATATATATATTCTTTCTTTTTTTTAGCGTGTGATATGAAACTCAAATAGTTTGACTGCTAATTCGACTACACAAATACCGCTCTTATTGAAAAGAGCAAATTTACTGATAATCGCATGGACGCGTGCGTCTGGTAGTGTGTACTACATCTGTGAAAGTACAGTGGATTTGGATGAAACTCTAATCTGGATTTAACGCTGCGTTCGGAACTGCTCGTCTATCTCGTCCAGCCCAGTTGGACAAGATGTTTTGACCGTTCGGAACTTCCACAATCTCGTCCCGGACAAGTATTCTGGCTCGTCCAACTCGCCCTCCTGCGAACCTGGGCGAACAGGACGAGATGACGTCACAGTAATTTTGATGTAAACATTGACAGTTGTAGGTAACCGCAAGATATTGGTGGGTAATTTTATAACCCTTTATTGGTGTTATCAAAGGATATTTTTGTGTTTGTCAGTTGCAGGTAAGTTAAATATGCATCAAAGGAGTTACAAAACCTATGCAGCGTGTAAAATAAAGACACCAGTATGATAAAATAATAATAATAATAATAAAATAAATAAATAAATAAATAAATAAATAAAAAATGTTTACATTGGAGCCGGTTGCATTCTGGGCAGAAAGGGTCTTGGAGGTTCCGAACGCGGCCCACTTGTCCTGCTGTCCTGGACAAGGTGTCTGGACGAGCAAGACGAGCAGTTCCGAACGCAGCATAACTTTTATGACGCGTACAGAAGAGACCCTTGCACAAGAAAAAAATCCTTTCAAGTTTTTAACAGATACATTTCTTTAAAGGCTCTTTAAACTCCATTGACCGAAATAATCAAATCTGAATCTGCCATCAGCCCGACGCCGCCGCTGCTGACATCAACGCCGAAACGCGAGGAAAAAATACCAAAGCTTATACAACTCTCCTTTGTTAAAGGCGCTAAAATGGTCTTAACTAACGCCGTCTACTTCAAAGGCTTTTGGAAATACCCGTTCAAGCCTCAAAGGACCCACAAGGACAAGTTTTTCGTAACCCCGGAAGAGTCTGTCCAAGTGGATATGATGTCGCAAACGAGAAGGTTCTAATATAGTAATGTTTGGGAGTTCTTCCTTTACACAAAATGAACCTCCCTACCTTTCCTTGTGTCCAGTTTCCGTTATTACATTTATTTTTCCATTTACTTTGCGTTTGTATCGATTTGTCGCAAATCAAAATCAATTATGTGTACATTAGGTGTCTCTCTTTATGGCAACACGTACATAATTCCAGCACAGAACAAGTTACCTTACAATTTAAGGAAATCGTAAAATGAATCACGTTATTATCACGAACTTCAAATATGTCCAACTCCGTTTCAGTGGACTCGAAGGAGTTTCGCGCCCAGGTGCTGGAGATGCCCTACAGGGGCGACAGCGCGTCCATGGTGGTGCTCCTCCCGCGATGTGGAAGGGATCCAAGACGGTTGACTGGCTGGTCCAACGCCTGAAGCCCAAGGTACTCGTGTCCGAGTTGAAGGCGATGCCCTCCGTCTCGCTGAGAGTCAAGTTTCCCAAGTTCAGCGTGGAGAGTACTCTCGGGGATGAACTCATTTCGGTATGTTTGAATTAGGGCAAGGTAAGCGAACCTGGTATTTTGGGATGGTAAGCAAAGGGTCGTAGTTTACTGAATAAGGTTAGCAAAGACTGGAATTTTAGTGAATAAGGCTAGTTAAGTCTGGTATTTAGTGATTAAAGAATGGAATGACTTATATTCTAGCAAACAAGTAGATCAAGGATAGAGAGATAAAAAAAAAAAAAAAAAAAAAAAAAAAAGATGAATAGTAGATATTTCATATTAAATGTAATTGAATATTATCGGGTTCCTGTTGAACTCACAAATTGAGTTATAATCTGCCATCACAAACGTTATATATATATATATATAATATGTGTGTGTGTGTGTGTGTGTGTGTGTGTGTGTGTGTGTGTGTGTGTGTATATATATATATATATATATATATATATATATATATATATATATATATATATATATATATATAATACCAGCAGGGAACTTTCCTCAATACAAACTGAGTAGCCCGCGGGATATTTGCTGTTTCAGTCTTACAGGCGGCCGTTTTGAATGATTAATTTAGCCAATACTTACGTTTTACATTCATCACTTCATTCTTATTTTTTTCTATTGCCTTTTCTATTAAGTCATTCTGATATATATATATATATATATATATATATATATATATATATATATATATATATATATATATATATATATATTAGAATGTATATATACATACATATTTATATGTATATATACATGTATATATATTCATATATAAGTGTGTTTATACATATATATATATATATATATATATATATATATATATATATATATATATACTTATTGATTTATTTATATGTATATACATGTACATACATATATGTATGTGTCCACTGTGCTGATCCCAAGGCCTGTCATAATTATTAGCCGGTGAAGTTAGGATCGTCATGAAAAAGTCATATAAATGTGTTACCATTAGGATCACCATTTAAAATGTGATAGGTAAAATCAACTTAACGTTCAATCACATAATACCAGTTTAAGAAACGTAATCCTGGGACGTTAGATGTAAACCTCTGTTGGCCCTCAAGATGGTGGCTGAAGGGAAAATTGGCTCGCGAAGGGTTTCGAGCTTAGATATCATACCATTACTTCAGTAAAGATTCTACGCATCTGGTTGCAAAATCGTTAAATATTGGTAATCGATATCCCTGAAAGATTAAACTTAGTCTTGCTACTATTTGAATTCTAAACTGAGAGAGCAATAAACGATTATTTAATGAAATGAAATACTGATAACCTATTAAAAACTGTTTTCTTCTTGTAGCGAAATCATGACGCAAAATACCTTTAAAAATAGCATCGTATCCACGCCTTCCTTCTCCAGACTTTACAGAAAATGGGAATACGTGACCTTTTCTCTCCACCGCCGATCTGACCAACTTCACACCTGTTCGAGGATTACTGGTGAATGGAGCGATCCACAAGGCCCTTATAGAGGTGGACGAAGAAGGCGCAGAGGCGGCAGCGGCGACGGCGTTCGTTCTGAATAGGTCTCGTTCAATGCCTCCAAAGACGACGTTCACGTGCAACCGGCCCTTCGTTTTCTTCATTCAAGATAACGAGGCGAACAACATCCTGTTCATGGGGGTTTATAGGGGTCCTTGAGGGTCCTCTGCTGGACTTTGTTATTATGGTTGGCATGTTCTTCTTGATTTTAACGCTATTATTATCATTATTATTTTTTTATCGTTATTCTTACTGTTACCATTATTATTATTTTCTTGTTTTTATTCTCATTGTTATTATTATTAAAGGTATTATCATTGTTCTTGTTATTGTTCATAGGTATTATCATTGTTATTATCATTAAGATTATTATTATCATAATTATCATTATATTGAATATTAATTACATTCGATTGTTATTTTCTTATCCCTATTATTGCATTTCAACAATATCATTATTAATGTTATAACTAGTGTTACTATTTTTTATTATTATGGTTATTATTATTATCATTACTACTGCTATTATTATTAACATTATTATTGTTATCATCGTTATTGCTACTGTTGTTATTGTTAGGGCCAAATTTTGTTAGTCTCCCCTCTTTAAAACTAACACAAAGTCATTATCATTACCTTCATTTCTATGCCCCTAACTATACCGTAAAGGACCACGTACTGAAGACCCAGAGGAAACCAAACACTCTTCACACCCCTTCTGCATAAAGGAAAGTAAGCTATGCCAGAGTAAATCCATGATATCAAGTTGTTCAGATAAAGTAGTTGAGAGAAAATAAACCCTAAGGTAATAGTTATTAAAACCACTTGGAATCATAGTTATGTAGAGAGCATTTAAAAAAAAAAAAAAAAAAAAAAAAAAAAAACGTGACCTGAGAATCAGATGAAGTATATCAACCTATTAAATCATAATCCTTCCTCACAAAAGATATATCGTTGTAAACCAGATTAATCCTACTGACGCTCCAGGTTGTTTAAAGAGTGAAAAGAAACAAGTGAAAAACATGAGCTAAGCTGCAATTCAGACTTTTTTAACACCAGATTCATCTTCCTGTAACGAAAATTTCATCAGTACTTTTCGCACATTGATGTCAATGTTCTGATAGAGGAGTAAAAGCTTTTTGAAGTATTTTCTTTGTAATCCACTTATTAATAAAGCTGCCATTCTTCCTCTTTCCAAGAAAGAGGGTTAAACAAACCTATTTATCGATCCTAGTAGTGACGTTTCTGAAACTGTTATGAATGCGCGTGTGCGTCAATGATCAGCAGAAACAAATATCGGCTGATCTCCCAGCGCGAGGTTGCCTTGAGCTGAGGCACAGGAAGCGGGATCGGCCGAACGAAGCCCAGAGTAATTTTACTGTAAAGAATCAGTGATGGGCAAGGATGAGGATATGTCCGATGCGAAGCTGAGCTTCGCCCGGCCTGTGCCGACTAATGTTGACGATCAACGTGTGTCAGCTAGTGCGACAGAGGTTAGTCCTTACCCACCGTGGTGCCCAGCCACAGCAATTACCTCAGGGCGACAATTGCAACTTCTCACACCTGGTCGGGGCGCGAACCGCAACCCCTCGGATGAGAGACCGGCGCGTTACCACTGTACTATCCTGAAGGTTTAATGATAAGGCAGGTTTTTGGAGTATTTTATACCTAGGACATGATCTTGGGGGCCTGGGATTTGAGGGACGACCTGGGGAACTAGATGGTTTGGGAAAGCTTTGGGAACGTCATATGATTGCATCTGAATATGCAATAATTTGTTTGTTTGCCATTTCTAGGAAATTTGACTGAAAACTTTGAATTTACTACAAATTCCAATAATGTGGTTTGTCAGAGGGTGACTATGGATATCTTTGTCAAATATCATTAAAGAAAACAAAAAACCAGGATTATTTTCTGATTTCCAATCCTATTAAAACTAACCAAAACCACATTTTAAATCGTCATCTAGAGTATACTGTAGATTGAAGATGTGCATGTGTATATACATATTTTATGTATGTCATATATATGATGTATATCATATACATACACACATAAATATAATGTATTGCACATATTATCATAATTCATAATATATTTTACAAATATACCATATACATCATATATATCGTATGTCATATACATTATATATATATCATATAATATATTATATATATATCATATACATACATTATATATATATACTTTATATTATGTTATATATATCATCCATTATATATATTGTTTCTATGATGTTATATTTTATATATATTTATGTTATACATGTGATATATATATTGTATATATGATATTTATTATATACATGTTATATAAATTGTATATATTATATTTCATATATATATATATTATTATATTATATATTATATATTATATATTATATATTATTATATATATATTTATATATATATATATACATATATATATGTATATATTGATTACATATATTATAATTATTATATACATTATAGATTCCATATATTATATACATCATATATCACATACAGGTGGTCCCTTACTTGCGAACTTCCGAGTTACGAACTTCGGTACATGCGAACAAAGTTGTCAGGAGGGAGTGAGAGTAGTGCGCGCCTAAACAATAGCTCTCTCACTGTACCCACACGGTCTCATTCAAACGTGTGTTGTACGCTCTCCAGAAAACTTTGTGATTTTGTGATTATTTTTGTAATTATATTTTTGCTAATTACGGTAAAATAAGAAAGTTTGGCCTAAATCTCTGACCCCTCCCCCGACATCCGCCTCCGGCTCTGATGTTTACTGTGTCGCGTCTGTGCAAATATACTCAACATTTTTTTTTTTTTTTATTTTCATTTTGGTATTCTCTGGTAACTAGCTGGCAACTCTGTTTGCAGCACAGCTGAGTCACTACAAAGAGACAAGGTTGGCAGTCACCACAAGAGAGCGGAGCGAGATGAAGATCGTCCCATGCCTCGGGGCGATACCATCCCTGATGCGCCCTCATCACATAATAGGCCACTACTAATGATCAATGTTATTCCTGTAACTAATAAGCATAATATGATGAGAAATACATCTCAATCACAGCTGCAGCAGTTTTTTTATTTTCTATGAAATGCCTCGAGAAGCACTGCAAGCCTCTGGTGACATGCAGTACTTCTACAATCATGTGCACTCATTGCCATTAGTCCTTTGGAAAAAGGGGGGGGTACACTTCAGAATACATGTGAATGCCATAGAATGCATCAAGGTTGACTCAGATATCAGATTTTCAAAGAAAAAAATGGAGGAAAAATATCCCAACTTCAAAGCCTGATATCTCAAATCTTCGTTCGTACTAGATGAATCGTTCTACGGTACAATATCGGTACAATACTCAAGAACAAGGATAAAATCATGGAGCATGTGAAAAGTTCAGTCCCTATGCAGTCTACTGTTATCAGTAAGAAACTGGAAAAGTGATTGCAGAATTTGAAAAACTTCTGAGCATTTGGATGAAGGTTGTTCAAAGCACATTAAAAAACACCGAAAACCACTGCATTGTTTATACCGGAACGTCCGAAAGTAGAGCTAGTTGTACAGTAATGAAAACATACCGTACGCCCTACTACGGACATACGAACATACGTACTTACGGCCTACTGGAACGGAACATGTAACACGCGGACTACCTGTGTATTATATATACTACACATTATTATATTATACATATATATATATGTATATATATGTATGTATCGCTAGAGGTTGGTAATATATATATAATATATCGGTACACAGTGGTAATATATATCCTTTAAAGATTAAACTTAGCCTTACTATTTTAAATCTAAAATTAGAAAGCGAAAAAACGATTATTTGATGAAATGGAGTACAGATAGATTATAACTTTTTTCTTCTTGTAACGAAATCATGACATAAAATATCTTGAGCATCCTCTGTTGGACCTTTGTTATTATTATGGTTGGCATTGTTGTTGTTAATACCAATGTTGTTTTTGCCTTCATTATTATTGTTTTAGTTTTGTAATCTATACTGCTATTGTTGTGGTTATTGTTTTTCATTGGAGAAAGCGAAACATAGAATTTATCTGTATTAACGAACACTTAGTTTATAATTCCAAATCACGTTTCTCGCTGCATGTCCTGCTGTCAAATAGCATCATTGCAATGTAAACGTGACCCGAATTTGCAACATTCGTTTCCCGTTTTAATTACAATTAAATGAACGCTGTTTGTGTTTTTGTTTTGAGAATATCAATTGGCATCTGTAATGTGTTTATTCTATAATGCATTGCACGACTCTGCGATGTATATCAGCGTGAGTCCCAGGCGCCCCTCATTAGTAGGTGAAAGTGCGTTGCGTGAGACTTCTCGCGTTCGTCTGTCACTTTAGGTCGCTGCGTTGGTACTGGTGTCGAGACTCTCTTGGTGAGCACTGTGTACCGGTGTTTTGTATGATTGTATGCTGATGTATATCATCGGCCGGTTTGTTAATACTGTGCGAAGCCTGACCTAATTATTATGAATATGAATGTAGACAGACAAATGCATATCTGCCGGATAGATAGATAAATAAATGTATATCTATCAGATAGATAAAGAAATAAGCCTTTATTTGCATGTCTTTATGTATGAATATTCATTGGGTCGGGCCTCGCACAATTTTAACAAACGTCTCGCACACAGAATTTCAAGATAATTTCATAACATATTGAAAGTGGTTAACATATGATGATCATATCACTAACCATTCATTAACAGTAAATATAGGACACCCTGTATGATCAGACGTTCATCTGTATGACGATGTTAAAAATTCTGAACATGAGAATCAAATCATCCCCAAAACATGTATCTCTTTGTGATCAAATTCAAGTACAGGTTTTTCATAATAGTTCAGATTTGTAGTGTATTAATTAAATCTTAGTTTTGTAACAAATGTACTTACACAGAGATGCGTGGCACCAAAGAGCATAAAAGACAATAAAGTTATGGTTAATGTTTTGATTATTCTCTGCAAAAAAGAGGGTATCTTACACATACATTTGCATTAAATCACTGCATTATCACTTCGTATATACATACAAATCTCTCTAACCTGACATTGTATTTCAATTTGTGATACGTTTCCATCAAGTGGTTAAGGGAGTTCTCTGGCAATCTTGGTCTAGTACGAGAAGACAGAAATATGAGCCGAGGCACAGTGATAAAACCTTTTAAGCCTTAAACAAAGTGAAGCACTTCAAACCTTATAGCTTAAACCTCGGGCGCAGTGTGAAAGCCTTCCGTACAAGAGGGCAGATCTGTTCAGCACTTACTTTGATCTTGAGTAACAGAGAAAGCCTTCTGTGGTGATCATTTAATGTATGTAGAATGAACCAACTTCAGTGCTTTAGGGCGTCTTCTGTACGTGCCATAAAAGTTAATCCAGTATTCAAGTTTAATCCAGATCTCTAGAGCGCATGCGCAATGGCAGCGTCCAGGATCAACTTTTATTTCATCTCTGGACCAGCATTCACTTTTGAGCTCGTAATTTAATCCTGGCATGCTAAGAATGAGCTAGTTAATCCCACCAATCAGGTATTGATACGTAATGACGTCAACTCCATAAAAAAAGGATGAAGTTGAGCTGCGATAAATGTTTATTGATGAAACTAATTCTGGCATTTTTATGCTACAGACATTTATCAACATGTATTTTCATAAGTCGTGGGATACTTAAACTGCAGAAATAACTCTCAAAATAATAAAAAAAAAAAAACGAAAGAAAATCCCACAAAGAGTTATATCCAGAAAACAAATCCCAACGTATGTATCATATCAGTAGACTTAAAAAGAACGCTTTCAATAACATCACGTTTGTTCAATAACAAACCTTTTGAATCTTTATATTACAGTGCCTTCAAAACTGCGTGCAAATTTTATCATTTTCCTGCGAAATAAAATTGATGTATCTTTCGTTTGACACCTACATTTCTGTTCCCTTTATATGGATTTATTTGTCGTAACACAAATGCACATCCTCATGCTATAAGACTACCGTATATGTATATATATATATATATATATATATATATATATATATATATATATATATATATATATATATATATATCTTTCTTTCTTTTTAGCGTGTGATATGAAACTCAAATAGTTTGACTGCTAATCGACTACACAAATACCCGCTCTTTTGAAAAAGAGCAAATTTACTGATAATCGCATGGACGCGTGCGTCTGGTAGTGTGTACTACATCTGTGAAAGTACAGTGGATTTGGATGAAACTCTAATCTGGATTTAACGCTGCGTTCGGAACTGCTCGTCTATCTCGTCCAGCCCAGTTGGACAAGATGTTTTGACCGTTCGGAACTTCCACAATCTCGTCCCGGACAAGTATTCTAGCTCGTCCAACTCGCCCTCCTGCGAACCTGGGCGAACAGGACGAGATGACGTCACAATAGATTTTGTATGTAAACATTGACAGTTGTAGGTAACCAAGATATTGGTGGGTAATTTTATGACCCCTTATTGGTGCTATCAAAGGATATTTTTGTGTTTGTCAGTTGCAGGTGTTAAATATGCATCAAAACCTATGCAGCGTGTAAAAATAATAATAATAATAATAATAATAAAAAAAAAAAAAATAAAATAAAAAAGTGAATGTTTACATAGGAGCCGGTTGCATTCTGGGCAGAAAGGGTCTTGGAGGTGCCGAACGCGGCCCACTTGTCCTGCTGGTCCTGGACAAGGTGTCTGGACGAGCAAGACGAGCAGTTCCGAACACAGTATAACTTATATGACGCGTACAGAAGAGACCCTTGTACAAGAAAAAAAATCCTTTCAAGTTTTTTAATAGATACATTTCGTTTAAGGATCTTTAAACTCCAGAGACCGAAATAATCAAACCTGAATCTGCCATCAGCCCGACGCCGCCGCTGCTGACATCAATGCCTTCATCAACGCCGAAACACGAGGAAAAATAACAAATCTTATAGAACCCTCCTTTGTTGAAGACGCTAAAATGGTTTTAACTAACGCCGTTTACTTCAAAGGCTTTTGGAAATACCCGTTCAAGCCTCAAAGGACCCACAAGGACAAGTTTTTCGTAACCCCGGAAGAGTCTGTCCAAGTGGATATGATGTCGCAAACGAGGTTCAAATATGGTAATGTATGAGAGTTCCTCTATACAAAATGAACCTCCCTACCTTTCCTTGTGTCCAGTTTCCGTTGTTACATTTTTTTTCCATTTTCATTGCGTTTGTATCGATTTGTCGCAAATCAAAATCAATAATGTGTTCATTAGGTGTCTCTCTCTTTATGGGAACATGTACATAATTCTAACACAGAACAAGTTGCCTTACAATGTAAGGAAATCGTAAAATGAATCACCTGTTATTATCACGAACTTCAAATATGTCCAACTCCGTTCCAGTGGACTCGGAGAAGCTTCACGCCCAGGTGCTGGAGATGCCCTACAGGGGCGACGCCGTGTCCATGGTGGTGCTCCTCCCGCGAAGTGGGAGAGCCAAGGAGGTGGACAGGCTGGTCCAACGCCTGAAGCCCAAGGTACTCGTGTCCGAGTTGAAGGCGATGCCCTCCGTCTCGCTGAGAGTCAGGTTTCCCAAGTTCAGCGTGGAGAGTACTCTCGGGGATGAACTCATTTCGGTATGTTTGAATTAGGGCAAGGTAAGCGAACCTGGTAGTTTGGGAATAGTAAGCAAAGGGTCGTAGTTTACTGAATAAGGTTAGCAAAGACTGGTATTTTAGTGAATAAGGCTAGTTAAGTCTGGTATTTAGTGATTAAAGAATGGAATGAAATATTCTAGCAAACAAGTAGATAAAGGATAGAAAGAGATGCAAAAAATTATGAATAGTAGATATTTCATATTAAATGTAATTGAATATTATCGGGTTGCTGTTGAACTCACAAATTGAGGTATAATCTGCTATCACAAACGTTATACATTGATGTGTGTGTGTGTGTATATATATATATATATATATATATATATATATATATATATATATATATATATATATATATATATAATACTAGCAGGGAACTTTCCTCAATACAGACTAGAGCAGCCCGCGGGATATTTGCTGTTTCAGTCTTACAGGGGCCGTTTTGAATGATTAATTAAGCAAATACTTACCTTTTACATTCATCACTTACATTCTTATTTTTCTATTCTGTCTTTTCTATTATGTCATTCTGATATATATATATATATATATATATATATATATATATATATATATATATATATACATATTAGAATGTATATATACATACATATTTATATGTATATATACATGTATATATATTCATACATAAGTGCATATATATATATATATATATATATATATATATATATATATATATATATATATATATATATATATATATATATATATACTTATTGATTTATTTACATGTATATACATGTACATACGTATATGTATATATGTATACACACACACACACATATATATATATATATATATGGTACGCGTGCTAAGTGTGTCCACTGTGCTGATCCCAAGGCCTGCCATAGTTATTAGCCTGTAAAGTTAGGATCGTCATAAAAAAAAAAAAAAAAAAAAAATCATATATAATGTGTTACCATTAGGATCACCATTCAAAATGTGATAGGTAAAATAAACTTAACGTTCAAGCACATAATACATTTATTAGTATCGTAATCCTGGGAAGTTAGATGTAAACCTCTGTTGGACCTCAAGATGGTGGCTGAAGGGAAAATTGGCCCGCAAAGGGTTTTGAGTTTTAAACACTCCGAGCTTACATATCATACCATTACTTCAGTAAAGATTCTGCGCATCTGGTTGCAAAATCGTTACATATTGGCAATAGATATCCCTGAAAGATTAAACTTAGTCTTGCTACTTGTTTATATCTAAACTGAGAGAGCAATAAACGATTATTTAATGAAATGAAATACTGATAACCTATTAAAAACTGCTTTGCTTCTTGTAGCGAAATCATGACGCAATATACCTTTTTAAAATAGCATCGTATCCACGCCTTCCTTCTCCAGACTTTACAGAAAATGGGAATACGTGACCTTTTCTCCTCCACCGCCGATCTGACCAACATCACGCCTGTTGGAGGAATCATGCTGAATGGAGCGATCCACAAGGCCCTTATAGAGGTGGACGAAGAAGGCGCAGAGGCGGCAGCGGCGACGGCGTTCTTTCGGAGTAAGTCTAGACCAATGCCTCCAAAGACGACGTTCACATGCAACCGGCCCTTCGTTTTCTTCATTCAAGATAACAAGGTGAACAACATCATGTTCATAGGGGTTTATAGGGGTCCTTGAGGGTCCTCTGCTGGACCTTGTTATTATGGTTGGCATTGTTCTTCTTAATTTTAACGTTATTATCATTATTATTTTCTTGTTTTTTAATCGTTATTGTTATTATTATCATTAGTATTATTATTTTCTTTTTATTCTCATTGTTATCATTATCAAAGGTATTATCATTGTTTTTGTTATTGTTGTCATAGGTATTATCATTGTTATTATCATTAAGATTATTATTATCATAATTATCAATATATTGAATATTAATTGCATTCGATTGTTATTTTCTTATCCTTATTGTTGCATTTCAACAATATCATTTTTAATGTTATAACTAGTGTTACCATTTTTATTACTATGGTTATAATTATTCATTACTACTGCTATTATTAATAACATTATTATTGTTATCATCGTTATTGCTACTGTTGTTAGTGTTAGTGCCAAATTTTGTTAGTTTGTCTTCCCTCTTTAAAACTAACACAAAATCATTATCATTACCTTCATTTGTAAAGGCCACGTACTGAAGACCCAGAGGAAACCAAACACTGTTCACACCCCTTCTGTATAAAGGAAAACAAGCTATGCCAGAGTAAATCCATTGATATTCAGTTGTTTAGATAAAAGTAGATGAGAGAAAATAAACCCTAAGAGGTAATAGTTATTAAACCATTTGGAATCATAGTTATGTAGAGAGCATTTGAAAAAAAAAACGAACTGAGGCTCCAGGCTGTTTAAAGCGTGAAAAGAGGTGAAAAACATGAGCTAAGCTGCAATTCAGACTTTTTTTAACACCAGATTCATCTTCCTGTAACGAAAATTTCATCAGTACTTTTCGCACATTGATGTCAATGTTCTGATAGAGGAGTAAAAGCTTTTCGAAGTATTTTCTTTGTAATCCACTTATGAATAAAGCTGCCATTCTTCCTCTTTCCAAGAAAGAGGGTTAAACAAACCTATTTATCGATCCTAGTAGTGACGTTACTGAATTCGCGTGTACGTCAATGATCAGCAAAAACAAATATCGGCTGATCTTCCAGCGCGAGGTTGCCTTGAGCAGAGGCACAGGAAGCGGGATCGGCCGAACAAAGCCCAAAGTATTTTTACTGTAAAGAAATCAAGTATTGGGGCAAGGATGAGGACATGTCCGATATGCGAAGCGTGTGTCAGCTAGTGCAACAGAGGTTAGTCTTTACCCGCCGTGGTGCCCAGCCACAGCAATTACCTCAGGGCGACAATTGCAACTTCTCACACCTGGTCGGGGCGCGAACCGCCAACCCCTCGGATGAGAGACCGGCGCGTTACCACTGTACTATCCTGAAGGTTTAATGATAAGGCAGGTTTCTGGAGTATTTTATACCTAGGACATGATCTTGGGGCCTGGGATTTGAGGGACGACCTGGGGAACTAGATGGTTTGGGAAAGCTTTGGGAACGTCATATGATTGTATCTGAATATACAATAATTTGTTTGCCATTTCTATGAAATTTGACTGAAAACTTTTAATTTACTACAAATTCCAATAATGTGGTTTGTCAGAGGGTGACTATGTGATATCTTTGTCAAATATCATTAAAGAAAACAAAAACCAGGATTATTTTCTGATTTCCAATCCTATTAAAACTAACCAAACCACATTTTAAATCGTCATCTAGAGTATACTGTAGATTGAAGATGTGATTGTGTGTATATACATATTTTATGTATAGCATATATAAGATGTATATCATATACACACATAAATATAATGGATTGTATATATTATCATAATTCATATTATGTTTTACAAATATACCATACACATTATATATATCGGTATGTCAATACATTATATATATATATATATATATATATATATATATATATATATATTATATATATATATATATATATATATATTATATATTATATACATACATTATATATATCATATATCATATACATTATATATATATACATCATATATATATATTATATTATGTATTATATATATATATATATATATTATATATATATATATATATATTATATATATATATATATATATATATATATATATATATATATATATATGTTTATACGATGTTATATTATATATATGATATTTATGTTATACATGAGATATATATATTTATATATATTTATTTTATATATGTTATACAAATTATATATATTTATATATTATATATGTTATATAGTTCATATATATACTATATATATATATATATTATAGTATATATATATATATACAATATATATACCATATTATATATTTATTATATATATATTATATATTATACATATATATATATATGTATATATTGATTACATATATATTAAGTAATATATATTTATAATATATATACTAATATATCATATATTATATACAGGTGGTTCCCTACTTTGCGAACTTCCAAGTTACGAACAAAAGTTGTCAAGAGGAGTGAGAGTAGCGCGCGTCGTAAACTATAGCTCTCCACTGTACCCACACTCATTCAAACGTGTGTTGTACGCTCTCCAGAAAACTTTGTGATTTTGTGAATTATTTTTGTAATTGTATTTTAAATACGATGAAATAAGAGTTTATGGCTAAATCTTCTGCCCCCCGCCCCCCCCCCAATTCTGCAAATATTATCATGATCTGTATTTATATATCTGAATATATATGATATCTGTGATATATATGATATATTTAATATATATGATATGTGATATATTTAATATATAATGATATATTTAAATATATATGATATATATATATATGATATATATGATATATTTAATATATATATATATTATTTAAATATATATATATATATATATATATGATATATATATATTATGATATATTTATATATAATATTTAATATATCGTATTATATAATATATATATATATATAATAGAATATATATATATATATATATTATATATGATATATTTATATATATATATTTAATATATATATTATTTAATATATATGATATATATTTTAATATATGGTATATTTAATATATATGATATATTTAATATGATATATTTAATATATTAATATATTTAATATATATGATATATTTAATATATATGATATATATAATATATATATAATATATATATATGATATATTTAATATATATGATATATATCTAATATAATATATATATATATATTATAATATATTTATATATGATATATATATATGATATATTTAATATATATGATATAATTTTAATATATATGATATATTTAATATATATGATTATATTTAATATATATGATATATATATTTTAATATATATATAATATGATATATTCAATATATACGATATATTCAATATACATGATACATTTAATAT